AGTGTATCCACAGGCTGAAGAAGAAAAAAATCATATATCAATTGATAAAGGAAATCTTTTGACAAAATTCACCTATTCATGATCAAAGTTCTTACAGTAGAAATAGAAACATCCTCAATCTCATAATAAGCATTTACAAAAAAACCTAAATATAACATCATACTTGCAAGTAGAAGATGAATGCTTTCCCTCCACAGTCACAGAAAAGGGAATGATGTATGCTCTCACCACTCTTATTTGTCATAATACTATAGGTTCTAGTTCCTGCAATAAGGCAAGGAAAAGAAAAACATAGATTTGAAAAGAAGAAATAAAATCAATGCTATTTAGTAACGAGTATCTACATAGAAAATTCCAAGAATTCTATTAAAATTCAAGAAATAAAAAGAATTAATTATAGTTATAAGATAAACAAAAAATCTATTGAATTTGTTTACTGACAGTGAGTGGAAACTGATTTTTAAAATGCAATCCTACTTATAGCTACTTCAGACAAAATTAAGAAAAAAGAAAATCTAACAAGATATCTGCAAGATTTGTGACATTAAAATCACAATTTTAAAAAAATTCTTCTAGTTGTTGATAGACATTTATTTATTTTTATATGATGCTGAGGATTGAACCCAGTGCCTCCCACATGCTAGGCAAGCGCTCTACCACTGAGCCACAACCCCAGACGCTAAGAATCACAAAATTTGGAAAGTCCTACTGTGTTTATGAGTTAGAAGACTTCACACAGTAAAAATGGTAGTTTTTCTTAAATTTCTCTGGAACTTCAATGTAATTACTCTTAAAATTCCAGAAGTTCTCAATAGATATAGACAAGCTTGTTCTAAAATTCATATGATAACCAGGTACTATGGAGCATGCCTACAACCAAAGCAACTCTGGAGGGTGAGGCAGGAGATGTACAACTTGATAAGACCCTGTCTTAAAAAATAAGAAAGGGTTGGGGATGCGCTCAGTGGTTAAGTGCCCCTGGGTTCAATCATCAGTACCCCTCAAATAAATAAAATTTATATAAAATTAATTTAATTTGGCCTTAAAATGGACAAAAATTGTGATGAAAAAAGAGGAATGATCCTAATGTTAAGGCTGACTTCTAGCTATAGTAATCAATATAATGTAGTACTAGTGAAAGCATAGGTATGTAGATCAGTGGAACAGCTTAGCGCATATCCACACAAATATGCCTGATTTGCTCTTCATAAAGAAAAGCACTTCAGTGGAAGAAGGGCAGTCTTTCCAATATTATTGCTGAAGGAGTTGGACATCCATTGCTAAAAGAAGAAGAACCTTGAGCTAAACTTCACACCTTATAAAATAGCTCAAGACTGATAATCAGGTTTCTTTTTAATACTTTTTAGTTGTCAATGGACCTTTATTTTATTATATATGGTGCTGAGAATTGAATCCAGTGCCTCACACATGCTAGGCAAGTGCTCTACCAGTACCCCTCAAATACATAAAATTCATATAAAATTAATTTTAGTCCTAAAATGGACAAAAACAATTATGTTTTAAAAAAGGAATGATCCTAATGTTAAGATTGATTTCTAGCTATAGTAATCAACATAATCTAGTACTAGTGAAAGCATAGGTATGTAGATCAGTGAGCCATAACCCCAGCTCTCAATCAGGTTTTAATATAAAACATAAAACTTCTTAAAAAAAAGGGACAGAAGATAATTTTAGGGCCATTGACCAAGCAGTTTTTGAACTTGATATAAAGAACATGAACTGAAAAAGGAGCACTTTTTTTTTAACTTCAAAGTTACTCAGATTCTTCTATTTCTCAAATACTGAGAAAGATAAAGTCCATAGTAATACTCAGCTCACTTCCAAGAACGCTGTAGATACTTCCATATCTTTTTAGTTCACCTCATATCATTACCTACTACTGCCTATTTTTTATTTCCCTTTGCCTCCCCAACTCTGACCTATATCCCCAAAGCTCAAATAACTGTTAAGCTGATTCCAGGACCTTCTTGAATGTGGGGTGGACTGGGTGAGTTGAAAGTGTTTTCTCAAGAGGAAAAAGGCAGAACATGCTCATACAGTAATTTTTTTTTTTTTTTTTTTTTGCTCTTTATTGTTCTTGAAGTACATGCTGTTACTATGCCCAGACTTAGCAAGTTTAAGTAATTTTGCGTAAGGTTGCCATTGGCAAAAACATGAATGGGATAGACTTCATAGTCTGTAGACCATGTTCTTAACTGTCATAGTATACTATGCTAATGAGTACTGCTGTGAGAGGTCTGCATAAACATTGGTATGTAGGTCAGGGGAGGCAACTTGATTCACTACAGAAAGCTTTGGCAAAACTTTTCAGGGGGATATTTGATTTGAGTTTTGCAAGATGAGTAGAGTTAATCATTTTAAGATGACCAGTGAGATTATATGTATGTATGCATGTATGTGTGTACACACACACACACACACACACACACACGGTTTTTGACTAGAATGTAGGATTTATGATTGAGTAGGGACAGTGATGAATCTGCCATTCAACAGATGGATTAAAGTCTGAAAATAATGGGAACCATTGAAAGACTTATGTGAGACCTGGTGTGAAAAATAATTATAGAAAGGTAACTCCAAATATCTTTTAAGAATAGATTGGAGATGGGAGACTAGAAGTAAGATGTTAAGTTAGGAAAATTTTTTATAAATTCAGGAGACAAAAGAAGAAAACCTGAGCTAAGACAGAAATTAAAGGTATAAATTATGAGGATTAGGAGATCGGATTGGAAATGTGGCAGTCATTTGTATATTGTTGGTACGAAAGAGGAAAAGATAACTCCTATCTTGCTGATTCATGTGGCTTAGCATAAGCTAGGAATAAAAAAATATAGTAAAAAAAGAAAAGTGGATTAAAAAGTCAGGTTTGTAAATTGTTTGAGGTATCTTTGCTACATAAAAGTGGAATGTCCAGATGACAGTTTAGTAAACTCCAAGTTCTATAATTCAGAAGAAAAAGCACTATGAAATTTTGTTTTGATGGTGGTATTTTGAGACAGGGCCTTCTGTATTCCCCAGAGGCCTCATCCTGACCGAGCCTCTTGAGTAGCTGGGTGGGAGATTGATTTAGTTTTGGGAATCAGCAACATATGTTAAAATCTGGGGATGAGAAGAGAAGGACCAGAGAATGAAACTCAAGAAAACAGTGACATTTAGCAAGGAGCCAAGAAAGAAAAAAAAAAAAAAATGCCTGTGAAAATCAGCAAAGATAGAGGAACCTAGGAGAGATTGCTGTTATAAATACTGAAAGATAGACTTTTTCTTAAAAACATGTGAATTACAGAATATTTATTAAGTAGAATATTGTGAATAGTGTTTAGTAATTTAAGAGTAATTTTTATAAGAAGTATTAATTGAATATGGAAAAAGAATATAACATTAATAAAAATAGTAAAATCCTAGTTTTTGTTAAAATACATATACATTCATACATATGAATAAAAGGAAATTTAGAATGTCTTTAAATTACAGGTTCTCAGATATTAGAATTATAAATGATTCACAATTCCTTATTTTATAAATTTTCTACAGTGAATATATATTGTTATAAGAGAAAAGTATTATATACTCAATTTAATGGATTCAGTCAAAACAGTTTTTCAGTGGAAATAAGTGCAAAAATGTCTCAACAGACTCCATTTAAATCACTTCTGAGTGATTGGTGACCTTAAAATTTTTTCAGAATCATGGATCGGAAACTAGATTTCAGGGGGTTAAATCAAACAGCCATCAGGAAAAGGGAGATGTATAAGCATAGAAAAGTACAACAAGCTGATGAGAAGTAGGACTAAGAATTTGGGGGGAGAATCTTGAAGCACACTTGCATGCTAAAAAAAAAAAAGAGTAAATAATTTGACAATCTGATAGTTTTACTGAAGAATATTAGTAATTTCTAAAAAGATAATTTCACATTAGTGGTAAATTATAGCCAAAAGTAAGTAAGCTTGTGCCTGGGTATGATAATTTCCAGAATAGTAACAGGACATGACTGAGACCAAAAAGTTTCATTTTACCAGATTTCATTACTAATCATGATTCAGAATTTCATTTTTTAATATACAACACATTTGTTGAATTCAAGAACAGTAAGCTCAAATATTTGTGCATGTGTGAGAAATTGATTCACAGACATAAAGAAATGAATTGGGTCTTTTTTAGAGGAAAAAATCGATTTGGTGTTTACCTAACTCTAAAGCAGTTCCAAAACCCTCTTAAGTGAGTAATAAAAACAACTGGTCTCTGTTTTGAATAATTATATTTGAGACTTAATTGCTTTTTTCACTTCTCATTAAATATATTTGCTAAATTGATATAGGAAAATGCCACAATTTTTATTAGAGTTTAGCAGCTAGAAATGGTCAGTATTTGCCCAAAGGAAATTAAGTGGCACATGGCTAATCATAGGTAAGATGATGGCATAGCCTTAGTCATTCTTTAAACTTAGTACATTAAATGATAAACAGGGAATCCTGCAAAACCTGGCAGCTATGTATGGAGGCAGGTCCAGCTCTTCAAGAGGAGGGAAGCCAAGAAACAAAGAGGAAGAGGTATGCTTCCCGCATGTTCGCTACCTCCATCACACAGCCATTTTTTGAGTTTATTGCCTCCTTTTCTTGCATGGTTTAAATTCTTAACAATTGTTTAAAGATTTTGTAAGTTTATAGGGACCTGTTACTATAATTTAACTTCATGCTGTGTCATAATTTTGCCTCATAACTGTTATTCAGTCTTGTAAGCTTAATTTTTTTCTTTTGATCAAATTAAAAATTTGTAATTATATTTCTTTCTTTTCAGAAATAAATTGCTCTAAATTAAACTCTTGAAAGCTAATATTACATTTCTGTTAACCAGATTTCAGAACTTTTATTTCTTATATTCAGATTAACACTTTCCCTTGAATTATAAATTTTTTAGCAGTAAAAATGTTAATAGTTTTTCTTTTACATGAATATGTTGTGTGTTTTTCTTCTTTGTAGGTTTATCTGGCAAGACTGAGGCAAATAAGACTACAGAATTTCAATGAGCGCCAGCAGATTAAAGCCAGACTTCGTGGTGAAAAGGTAGTTTGAGACTTTATACAAAGTAATCGAGGATGGGAACATAACTCAGTGGTAGCACACTTACCTACCATGCTTGAGGCCTTGAGTTCAAATCCTAGCACTGCCATAAAAAAAATAAATAAAAAGTAACTGAATGATATTATTAATCATTAGATTAGATTAAAATTAGTTTAATATTAGAAATGCTATGCCAATAACAACAACAACAACAAAAAGATGAATACAGTGAACATAAAAGTTGTTCCGGGCTGGGGATATAGCTCTGTTGGTAGAATGCTTGCCTTGCACATACAAGGCCCTTGGTTCAATCCCCAGCAACACACACACACACACACACACACACACACACACACACACAGTTGTTCAGGGAATAAAGTAAGTCTTATTTATATGATTTTAAATTGATAAGAACATTTTTTTTTTTTTGCAGAGGAATTCTGAGAGAACAGAATTATCCACTATCCTTCCAAGGATTAAAGTACATTTTATATCATTCTGTTTTTAACATTTTGTTCAGTTGTCTACAGGATTGATAGTTGTGAGAATTCATTTTCAGCTTTGGGAGAAAATTAACAGCGTTGAATGATTTCCCATTTTTAAATGTCAGTATTCATGTTATCTGTCATGGAGCTCTGCACTGAACTTGATGGTTTTGTCCTAAGTGGTATGCTTATCTACTTATTTTGTAGAAAGAAACAGATAATTCCAAAGGACAAGAAGGAAGTGAGGAAGCTGATTTGAGGCGCAAAAAAATTGAATCACTTAAGGTATAGACTAGAAATAATGTTGCACTTTCTATAGAAAATTGAAATAGAAAGTTATGTTCCTATGTTTTTCATAGTTAGAACACATTATTCATTTGCTTTAATTTTTCTTTCCACTTCATCTTTTACTAATTGGTTTTTGAAATACAGTGTTTTTCTGTGTATAACATATTTATGAATAACAGTTGATCACAGTCATGGCATAAATATGTAAAAGTATGACACAAGTAATCCTAAAAAGAAAAAACAGTAACCTTAAAAATGAAATACACAGTTATCCATTTCTCTGAAGATAAATGAAATTTTATATAATAAATATTTTTACATTTTAATTTCCATTCAAATGTACTTGCATTTATTTTAATTCAGTAAATATTTAGTGAGCTTGTATGACAGGCCTGCTGTATGTCAAGCCTGATTCAAGGTATTGGGGATATAGAGTGAGCTTACATGCACATTTCTTTGTGGCTAATAAGTCAGTATCTTTTTAGACTTGCATGGAAAGGAAACCACATGTCCTCTTTCTGATAACTAATTTTGTCTTTATTTTCAGGCCCAAGCAAATGCACGTGCTGCTGTACTAAAAGAACAACTAGAGAGAAAGAGAAAGGAAGCATATGAAAGAGAAAAGAAAGTGTGGGAAGAGCATGTAAGATTTATTTATTTATTTATGATTTTTTTTTCTTTAATTTTTATTGTTGGTTGTTCAAAACATTACATAGTTCTTGACAAATCATATTTCACACTTTGATTCAAGTGGGTTATGGACTCCCATTTTTACCCCATATACAGATTGCAGCATCACATCGGTTACACATCCACTGTTTTACATATTGCTATACTAGTGTCTGTTGTATTCTGCTGCCTTTCCTATCCTCTACTATCCCCCATCTCCTCCCCTCCAATCTTCTCTCTCTACCCCATCTACTGTAATTCATTTCTCCCCCTTGTTTTTTTTTTTTCCCCTTTCCCCTCACTTCCTCTTGTATGTAATTTTGTATAACCATGAGGGTCTCCTTCCATTTCCATGCAATTTCCCTTCTCTTTCCTTTTCCCTCCCACCTCTCACCCCTGTTTAATGTTAATCTTCTTCTCATGCTCTTCCTCCCAACTCTGTTCTTAGTTACTCTCCTTATATCAAAGAAAATATTTAGCATTTATTTTTTAGGGATTGGCTAGCTTCACTTAGCATAATCTGTTCTAATGCCATCCATTTCCCTGCAAATTCTATGATTTTGTCATTTTTTTAATGCAGAGTAATACTCCATTGTGTATAACTGCCACATTTTTTTTATCCATTCGTCTATTGAACGGCATCTAGGTTGGTTCCACAGTCTGAGCATGTAAGATTTAACTCATATTCTTAATCCTGCTTATTTTATTGTTCTTCTGTTTGCTACTGTGTTGGAAATCAGTATTATAAAATTTTTTAATTCCTTTTTTTCTATTTTTTTTAATTCTAATTCTTATCTGTTTTTTTTTCTCTCTTTCAGATTTAAGGATAATCTTTTAGGAAGTTTTTTTAGGATTTGATTTGAGGTGACAACTTTATTTAATTTTTTATTTACATATTTCCAAATAGTAAAGTCCCATCATCATGTAATGATGACACCTTCTTTCTGCCACTTATTTAGAATGCTACTTTAAAATTTGTTAGATTCTCATATACACTAGAAAATTAACCCATAGTATATGTGCAGCAAGGTATTTTGGGGGGGCTTTCTCTTCTACTTTTTTTACTCTATTTGCTTGTTCTATCAGAATCTTATTGTATTAGAGACTCAGAATATGTGTTTTGGCCTTGTCTTTTTTGGTGGGCTTTTTTTTCTTCCACATATTTATTGGTACATTATAGTTGTACATGTTGAGATTTATTGTTACTTATTCATACACTCATGCAATAATACATCAATATAATTTGGTCAGTATCACTCCCTAGCACTTTTCTCTTCCCTCTGGTCCCTTTCTTTTCCTCTTTCCTCTCTCGCTTTCATAGTTGAGAGAAAACTTATAACCCTTGCCCTTTTGAGTTTGGCTTATTTTGTAACAGTCTCTAGTACCATCCATTTTTCTACAAATGACATGATTTCATTTTTCTTTATGGCTAAATAAAATTGTCTTGTGTGTATATACCACTTTTCTTTATCTACAGTTTAGCCATTGTGAATTATGCCACTCGAAACATGAATATACATATGTGTATCCCTATAGTATGATGACTTTAAATTTTTAGGATAAATACAGAGGAGTGATATGGCTGGGTCATGTGGTGGTTCCATATCTAGTTGTTTGAAGAACCTCCATACTGATTTCCATAGTGGTTGTGCTCATTTGCAATCCCACTAGAAGTGTTAAAGTGTTCCTTGTCCTCCATATCCTCTCCAGTATTTATTATTATTTTTATTCTTGATGATTGCCATTCTGACTGGTATGAGATGGAATCTCAGGGTAGTTTTGATTTGCATTTCCCTATTTGCTAATGATATTGAGCATTTTTTCATATATTTGTTGGCCATTTTTATTTCTTCTTTTGAGAAGTGACTGTTTAATTCATTTGCCCACTTATTAATTGGGTTATTTGGGTATTTGATGTTAAGTTTTTTGAGTTCTTTATATATTCTAGATATTAATTTTGTGTCCGAAGAATAGCTAGCAAAGATTTTCTCCCATTCTGTAGATTTTGTCTTTAAGTTCCTAATTGTTTTATTTTCAGTGTAGAATCTTTTTTAACTTGGTCCCATCTCATTTATTAACTCTTGACATTATTTCCTAAGCTTTAGTTGTCCTTTTTAGAAAGTTATTGCCGGTGACTATATGCTACAGTGTTGACTTTATGTTTTCTTCTAGGAGTAGCATAGTTTCTGTTCTAAATCCTACATCTTTGATCCATTTTGAATTGAACTTTTTGTGGGGTGAGAGATAGGGTTTAGTTTCATTCTTCTACATGTGGATAATCAGTTGCCCCAGTACCATTTGTTAAAAGGCTGTGTTTTCTCTTGTGTTTTTGGTACTTTTGTCAAGGATCAGATAACTGTAGATGTGTGGGTTTGTCTCTGAGTCTTCTCAGAATATGTTTTAATTTTTATATATTTTAAGATAAATTTTATTCCTTTTTGGAATTTTTGTTGGTATTACTTTTAACATGATAAGTACTGGTATGTTGACAATAGTTTATCCAGAAACACATTAAATTTGTACCCTTATTCATTGTTTCTTTTATATCAACACAATTTTGGTCATTTTATACATATCTGTTGTATGTCTTACAAAGATTATTTCTAAATATTTTATAATTACATGTCATAAAATCTTTTTTTTAAGTTATAGATGGACACAATACCTTTGTTTTATTTATTTATTTTCATAAGGTGCTGAAGATGAAACCCAGTGTCTCACATGTGCTAGGCAAGTGCTCTAGCACTGAGCCACAACCCTAGTCCCTCCATGCCTCGTTTTTAAAGTTTTTTTTTTTCCTCCCCTAAGAGAATAGTACTAATATTTGGAGAAATTTTAGGGTTTTGCTTATCTTTTATGCTGTGATTCTTCCTTTTCTACCAATTTTCAGTTGATTTTCTGAGTCTTTATTTAGCATGCAGCTATCTCATTGGCAAATGGTCATGTTAGACATCAGATAACAGTTCTTCCAACTTATTATTTATAGTATGTTAGGTTCATTATAATCATCATGTTGCTTTGTTTAATCTTTACAACTTTACAAAGCAGATATAGAAAAGATGATGATATGAAGTCACATTTCCAGTAAGGGCAGATGAAGGACTTGAACCTGGGTCTGCTTAATGTCAAAGTCTGTATTCTTATGGAATTTTCCCTGCTCTTTATAAGGTGTGTCTTTTATTACCATTTTGCTTCTTACTGAATTTGCCAGAATTTCCAGGATAATATTATGTAGTAATAGGTATAATATTTTATTCCTTTCTTTATTGGGAATTGTTCATAATAGCATTATGTGAAGTAAGATAGTAAGCATGTTTATGTCACATCGTGACAGTTTTTAATCAGAGTATGTTTTGTAATCCTACCAAGTGATTTTTTTAATACCTGTTAAATTAATATGTTTCTTCTGAATCTACTCATTGATGTAATATACAGGGAGATTCTTTTCTTACAAAATTGCCAAAGAAAAATAATCTGTTATAAAAAATGATATATGTGAAAGAGTCAGAACTCCAAAAGTGAGAAATAAGACAAATAATTTTTTTTTTATTGGTTGTTCAAAACATTACAAAGCTCTTGACATATCATATTTCATACATTTGATTCAGGTGGGTTTTGAACTCCCAATTTTACCCCAAATACAGATTGCAGAATCACGTCGGTTACACATCTACATTTTTACATAATGCCCTATTAGTAACTGTTGTATTCTGCTACCTTTCCTATCCTCTACTATCTCCCCTCCCCTCCCCTCCCATCTTCTCTCTCTACCCCATCTGCTGTAATTCATTTCTCTCCTTATTTATTTTCCCATTCCCCTCACAACCTCTTATATGTAATTTTGTATAACAATGAGGATCTCCCTCCATTACCATGCAATTTCCCTTTTCTCTCCCTTTCCCTCCCACCTCATGTATCTGTTTAATGTTAATCTTTTCTTCCTGCTCTTCCTCCCTGCTCTGTTCTTAGTTGCTCTCATTATATCAAAGAAGACATTTGGTATTTGTTTTTTAGGGATTGGCTAGCTTCACTAAGCATAATCTGCTCTAGTGCCATCCATTTCCCTGCAAATTCCATGATTTTGTCATTTTTTAGTGCTGTATAATACTCCATTGTGTATAAATGCCACATTTTTTTTATCCATTCATCTATTGAAGGGCATCTGGGTTGGTTCCACAGTCTAGCGATTGTGAATTGTGCTGCTATGAACATCGATGTAGCAGTATCCCTGTAGTACGCTCTTTTAAGGTCTTCAGGGAATAGTCCGAGAAGGGCAATAGCTGGGTCAAATGGTGGTTCCATTCCCAGCTTTCCCAGGAATCTCCATACTGCTTTCCAAATTGGCCGCACCAGTTTGCAGTCCCACCAGCAATGTACAAGAGTACCCTTTTCCCCACATCCTCTCCAGCACTTGTTGTTGTTTGACTTCATAATGGCTGCCAATCTTACTGGAGTGAGATGGTATCTTAGGGTGGTTTTGATTTGCATTTCTCTGACTGCTAGAGATGGTGAGCATTTTTTCATGTACTTGTTGATTGATTGTATGTCCTCCTCTGAGAAGTGTCTGTTCAGGTCCTTGGCCCATTTGTTGATTGGGTTATTTGTTTTCTTATTGTTTAATTTTTTGAGTTCTTTGTATACTCTGGATATTAGGGCTCTATCTGAAGTGTGAGGAGTAAAAATTTGTTCCCATGATGTAGGCTCCCTATTTACCTCTCTTATTGTTTCTCTTGCTGAGAAAAAACTTTTCAGTTTAAGTAGGTCCCATTTGTTGATTCTTGTTATTAACTTTTGTGCTATGGGTGTCCTATTAAGGAATTTGGAGCCTGACCCCACAATATGTAGATCGGAGCCAACTTTTTCTTCTATCAGACGTAGAGTCTCTGATTTGATATCTAGCTCCTTGATCCACTTTGAGTTAACTTTTGTGCATGGCGAGAGGAGGGGATTCAGTTTCATTTTGTTGCATATAGA